GGGCCCGCGGAGGGAGGGGAGCCCCTACCAGACTTGCACCCGCACCCGCACCCCGGCGTCGGGGCCCCGCAGCGGGTCATCCCCGAGCAGCCCGGATCGCGCCCCGCCCCCCGCCGGGACCTGAGCTGGGGGGCGCCGCGTGGAGCCCGTTTGGCGCGGACCGATGCTTCCCTGCGAAACGGCTTCTGCAAAGAGCAGGCTGCCTGGTCCAGGCCCCGGGGAGGCGCGCTGGCCTCCCACCCCCCCGGCTGCGGCCCGCCGGCTTCCCTTATAAAGCCTCCGCCTAGCACAGCCTTGTTGCCGCTTTGGCCTGGGTAACTCCCCCCAGCACAGCCTTGTGGCCGCTTTGACGTGGGAAACTTTGTGCACCTTGAAAAGGGGGCGGGGGCGCCCGGAGAGTAAAAGAATAGTTCGCCCGAAGTTCGGAGGGAATTCCTCCAACCATCCTCATCAGAATTCTCTGATCCCATAGTCACTTTAAATATATTATTGCACATGGTTGCTGACAGTTTTGAGTTCACCTCCTGCACCATTTGATGTCAAAGGTTTATTTGACATCAGTTTAACTGGCAATAGAGCTGAGGATTGTTCCCCATGCTAAGTCCTATACATGTGAGTAGTTAAAATGCATTTTCATGTTCCCTCACAGAGTTGCAGGCAAAAGGTTTACAGGTTTAAAGCCCATGGGCGTGGGAGAGTATGTTTCATTCTCTTGGGTGGTTGTAACTAATACATCAGCTTTCTAGTTCAGATGTTATTAGAGTACAGTCTTCTCCTCAGATGGTAGAAGCTTGTTTTTTGAGGTGTGAAATCAGGACTCCAGATCCAGGGACTTGAAAGACAGTTGTGTATGATTTATGAAGAGAGAATTGGGGTTGTTTTTTTCTGTAGGGCCGTGATCCTCTTATGGAGTACATGCAGATACATCTTTTGTACCTGCATAGAGCCTTACCAGTGTATGTGTTGACGATCTGCTATGTTATGTAAATCACCAATTTCATTTCTTGTTTGAAATTAACTATTGGAATAATGGAGTGCTATTAAAGTTATTTACATTGGAAAGTTTCTCCTAATAATAGTGGCTTTGTTCATTTTCCCACAGAAAAACATACTAGTTGAAAATGATGTGAAGATAGACAAAGATGGCCTCACTAACCTCTATGTTCAGCATGCCATACCATTGCCTCAGCGGGACTTACCCAAAAGTAGATGGGGGAGAATGATGGAAAAGAAAAGAGAGTTACATGAAACAAAAACAGAGAGTAAAAGGTAAATCAGTTGTGCTTTTAGCTTCTTCATAACCTTTGGCACATTTTGGAAAACGTGATTAGGTTGATCTTTTTCTACTCAGTAGTTTTTGTACAGGTTGCTAGCACTTATAAGATATGTTGGTGTGAGATATAAGAGTGTATTACTTAATGGTGATCCAGAAGAGGAAGTTCAGCTCTTGTAGAATGCTAATAATAAAATCTAATGCTTTTTATCAGTAGATATCAAAGCACTTTGAAAAGGAGGTAAGCTTCATCATCCTCATTTTACCAGTGGAGATGGATAACTGATTAAAAGCTTGGTAGTTGTCATGAATAACAGTTACAGTTGTTACTATTACCTGTAATTGTTAATAGTAACATTAACTACCAATTACTGTTAGTATTAGTAATAGATCTCAAATCAATATTGGGGCATAGTATAATTAATCAACTGAATGTTAATGATGTAAGGTATGTCTACTTAATGTAAGTACGTTGCGGTAACTATGCTAGCATAGTGATGGTGCAGCCTTGATGGAAGGGGTTTTTCCATCAGCATAGGATTACAGCATGGTATTACATTGAGAGAAGTATTCTTCATTTGATGTAGTTTCATCTACATTGGGAGTAGGTGAATATAGTTATATCCATCAGGGGGGGTAGATTTTTTTCATGCCCTTGATTAATGTAACTATGTTGACCAAACAGTAGACCAAGCTATAGTAACTTATGCTTGCTCGTGTTCTAGTAATTGAGTAAGGGACTAGAGCACTAGCCTTCAACAAAAGTGTTTAATGTACCTAATTCAAGACCATTTTTAAAAAATTAAACCGCTCTACTCCCACATGAGACCTTAAAATCAACTTTGATGAGAAAATAAAGTGATCTAAAATTTTTGTTTTGTTTTCTTTATATTTCATTTCCATGCCATGGTCTGAATTCTATAGCATAATGTTCATAGGCAGATCTCTACACTCCTGCGAAATCCCCGTGATTTTAAAAAGTCTTCCCTCTGCTTCATATTAAAGGTTCAGGTCCTGAGTTTCTGACCACTTTGTGAGTGCATGAGACAAATATATTCATAAAGAAACTTTCTGCATTTATGCACTCGACAGTATTACAGACAGTTAGTTTTGTATAGCTATCTCATTTAACTGTGTATTACAATAAACATAATGGCTAAGCAAATTCTGGCCACAAATTCTTGTTCATCAGTAGCTTCCCTGTGGGAATTTTTTTTTTTTTGGCCAGTTTTGTCTTTTCTAAATATTTTTCATATTGGTTCTAGAAACATTGACATTGTAGCAGACACAAACATGAAGAAGTTGAAATAAACATATAATAATCTCATATATCAACAGTGTTTTGAAATAGCTGAACAGGAATTTAAGTTTTTATTACATATACCAGGGATGTCAATGTGTAGTCGACTGAATCAGGGAGCAGTAGCCAGTGCCTGTGAGAAGCAGCTGGCTTTAAGCAGGCTCTTCATGATCACTGGATCCACCTGCCCCACCCCATCCCTATGGCTGCAGCCCCTGTCCATGAGGGCGGGGGAGGGAGGTCTGCATAGGGAGTTGGTTTTTAAAAATGGCTTCCCTGGTGGACCAGCTCCCCCCTGCCACTAGGGATATTAAATTTAGATTAACCAACTAATCCACTAATCTAATAGTTGATAAGGGCACCTCCATCTTTGAAATGTAGCAAGAGCCCCACTAGCCCTTTCTACATTTCAAAGGCAGAAGCACCGAGGGGAACATGGGGCCAGCAGAGGGAGTTGGTTTTTAAAAATGGCTTCCCTGGTGGACCAGCTCCCCCCTGCCACTAGGGATATTAAATTTAGATTAACCAACTAATCCACTAATCTAATAGTTGATAAGGGCACCTCCATCTTTGAAATGTAGCAAGAGCCCCACTAGCCCTTTCTACATTTCAAAGGCAGAAGCACCGAGGGGAACATGGGGCCAGCAGGGGACTCAAGCAGTCCCCCACTGGCCCTGAGCTCCCTGCTTTTGAAATGTACAAGAGCCCAGAGGTTCTTGTACAGTTCAAAAGCAAAGTGCACAGGGACCACAGGCCCAGCGGGGGAGTTCTTGAATCACCTGCTGTCTCCATGCTTCCCGAGCGCTTTGCTATTGGGGGACTGCTTGAATCCATCACTGGCCCTGTGCTCCCCTCTTTTGAAATGTACAGAAGCCCTTGTTTTATAGTTAAACACATTTTATTATAAAAAAAATGAATATATGGAAACCCAAGAACAGAAATGGGGCTCTTTAGACAACTGCTCTGTTTCCATAAAGGTTGCATTGTTAAGGTTACTAAGATGTTTAACATATTGTATGTTGAAAGTGCCAGTAACTGTTTAAGTGCCTCTTATTGATTAGCCACTGTTAGTCATGATCAACACTTAAAAATAATTTTGTCTGGTTAGTGTTTTATTCAGTTATCTTTTTACTGCCAGCGTTCATAAAGCACACGGTATGGAGATGGTAGGAAAGAGGCTGCTGAAGGCTTTTGAAAGTTCTAGACTTAGAGCAGTTTTGGTAAGTAAAACTAAAACGGATGAAGGAGAAACTGCAGAGTTATTGTAACACACTACTGAGATGAATCAAGATAGTTCACACACCTAGGAGTGAATATTGCTCCCCGTGGTTGTTGATGGCCTTGTAGTGGACCCAGAATGATGTTACTCTGTGTGAGATGGAGCAGAATCTAGAAAGCATCATAGCCATTTTCTGTGTGTTGGAGGGATCTTAAATATTGGTTAATTGAATAGTTGATTAACCTCATGAATTATTTGTTACTCAACTATTCTGTAGTCCCCGGGGGCAGCCAATGTACTCTGGCCTCACTCCTGAGGTGCTCCCTGCCACTCTGTGCTGCTGCCTTTGTATCAGAGGCAACAGCCTGACGTGCCAGGTGGAAGCTGGTCCATGAGGGGAGCCAGGTTATAAATCATCTGTTCTCGCAGACCGGCTGCCTGGTGATACTGTAATTGAATTAGATGGGTGTCATGACATGGGTATGATATATAATTGTATGTAAAATGCATTGGGTTTTATTTATATTTAAATATCCCTGTCTATCTAAACAACTCCTATGTATAGCCACCTCAGTGATACTGATACAGAGGCAGCAGTACAGGGTGGCAGCAGTCCCTGTCTGGGTGAGGTCTGAGCTCCTGGACCCGGCACGAGCCAGAACTGAGCTGGGCTACCTGCCCACCTGACTCTAAATACACTTGGAATGCAGAGCCACAGGAGGGGGGAAATGGGGGAAGAAAAATGCATGTAGTCTATAGCATTAACCTATAAACTTTTGCTTATCGGTTAATCGACTACACTATTACATCCCTAGCGTGTTGTAGGGTTTAGTGAGCTTTGCCATGAAGAAGGGTTTTGTGAGTGAGGGGGATGAATACAGATTTACCACTTAATGCAATATGGAAGTTACTTTAATGGTAAAGTTGGATTGCTGCCCAAGAGTACTTGTAGGTGAATTCTGTGCTATTGAAAGAGTGCATAATTAATACATTGTGCATATTTTACATTTTTTGCTCAGAAAAAAGCTGTTGAAATGTTGCTGCAGTTCTATCTTTTGCTCACCAGAGGGCGCTGTGGCAACAGAACACAGCCATTCCCAGTCACCTAGGGAAAAGCGAGAACCTGCAGCCTGCACCATACCTGTTGGGCCAGGTCAGGAGACAGGCACTATGTGGTGATGGACATCATGGTATGCTAGAGGTGTCACACAGGGGCTCATAAGAGCTAGTGGTGAAGGACAGACTGGATGAGGGGCTGAATGGGAGTGGAGGTAGGCAGAGGGGAAATGGAGATGCAGTTATATGGGGATGACTGAGTGGTGGCAGAGAGTAAATGGGGATAGGGACACAGACAGGTGGACAAGGAGAAGCCATGAAGGGCCACACAAGAGTAGGTGTCTGAGGTGGGTGGGATGGAGAGGAGGGACACATGGGGATAGAGCAGTTGTTCCTGACTGAATGGAAGAGGCTAGTGGTCAGAAGGGGTCTACAATCCCTCCCTGCCCTCTAAAAAACCAACAACCTTGTTCTGTATTTTTCCTACCCATACCCAACAACCCTCCAAGTTTTCCACCCAGGCTGTTTCCCAGAAATTTACTTCCCTTTCCCTCAGCTCCTCTTTTACCTCTAAGGTCCCCAAGCCTTTGCACCACTTCTGAGGGGATTGGGAAATATATGGTTCTGTACTGTTGTTTAAATTAATTATTTCTCAGAATTCTGTATTAATATACCTAGTTAGAAACCTATTTTTTAAAAAACATTTCCTAACTCTCTTTTGTTGTCTTTATTGATACAAATATACTTGCTGATGGGTATTTGAAAATAAATTACCAAAAATAATTGAAACTAGTGTGACTGTATTGTGTTATTAAAATATTATGTGCGTAGTTCCCCCAGGAGAAAAAGAGCAGGTTGCCTGCTATGGAGCAAGGAGGGAAGGATTCTTTCCTAATTGTTCCAGACTTTGAAGAATTCCCCAGAACACAGCACAACTGTTTTGACTGTGTGCTGAAGCTTGGAGTGGCGCCTTAGACAGTTTATACCTCTTTGTTTCAGGATTTCTTTCTGCAGGGTCAGGAAGACATTACATCAGTTTTGTTCACATTCAGGAGGTAATCTTCACAACTTGAAAGATTACAAATTGAATTGTTTTTTAATGGAAATTTAAGTTATGCCGAAACAGAGTTCCTTGATTTCTCAGGAGCAGTGGTGGAAAACATACCCAAAAAAGTTACTTGAGTAAAAGTACTGCTACTTTGAAAAAAATGTGACTGAGTAAAAGTCAAAGTATCCTTCTGGAAAATTACTTGAGTAAAAGTACAAAAGTATCACATCTTAATTGTCCGTAAGAATCCAGAAGTAAAAAGTAGCCATCCTATGGTTAACCACCTGAGTTATTGTAGGGCACTATTATTTCTCTCTCACACACACTCCTGTATACAATGCGTGTGTGTGTGTGTATATACAGTATATACTAT